ATTGAATGAGCCATCTAAAATGAACTTATGATTGCAGAAAACTTATAGCTGGAACTCACCGTATGTTTTTGGAGAAGTGTCATCCTTGTTGTTTGGCAATGGAACTCGAGAATATGAAATTAGGCAGGCAGTGGTCGGAAGAAAAGATATTACAGGATAGTGCATAGTTTAAAACAGGATGAGGTGTTAAGTGAAGGAGCACTAAGAATTAGATCCAGATAACTACTTAGTCCTTGCTTACGTTGTTAGTCAATGTATATTTACGTTATTTGCATGTCGTATTTGCTAGAGCTTGATGTTTAAACAAGACTATGTCGCTGAAGCATGTAAATGCTATTAAAGCTTGTTAACGAACCATCAAAGCTAATTAGTTAATTTAGACGACCAGTTTTTACTATCGATTGACCTAGTATGTTATGAGAAGTAATCAATATAACATTACGATAACGCATGTGAGCATTAATCAGAGGACTATTAGAATACTGGGTTAACATATATATAAAATCGATCGAGAAAGTTTAAGTGGAAATAAGGATTAACAATATATTGTTAATCCTATTATAATAGGTTGTGTTTCTTTAGTTGGGCTCACCAATGTGGAACTATGGTCTCCTATGATATTAGTACTGCTCTAATAATAGACCTAATCCTAAATTTGTAGATTTTTCATGATATAACTGCCTAATCTATAAGATCTTACGTGGAAGTCACACCATCGACTACACCAACTCACTGTATCGTATCAATTACCAATACATGATGTAGAACAAGGTTAGGCTAGAGAAGGAACAATATATTTAATATGAATAGAAGATATAAGGTAACATTCAGATGAACCACGCCTGCATGGTCGAGCCATGCCATCCGATCAACTCCAGTCCATTCAATTCATTGTACGCGCTTTCTCCATTGTTAGGTATTTCTCCGCGTTAAATGTTGAATATCTATTTTCTGAGTAGTCTCGTGTTCACAGCTTTGTGGGTTGTGTGGCTATTGTCGAATGCCACTACAAGGTCGTTTCTTGAGCACTCCCCTATGATTGACTGCAGCCGCTCGTAGAATTGATCTTTAATGTCGTCGTTGCTATTATCGGTGGGTGCATAACATTGGATAATATTCAATGTGATCCCCTCCTTCTTTGTTTTGAATGATGCTTTGATAATTCTGGATCCGTGAGATTCTTATCCTACAAGTGCATTTCGTGCTACTTAGGACAGCATAAGAGCGACTTCCTGAGTGTGTGGAGCATTTTCCTCTTCGTGACCGGAGTATAGCAGCATCTCTCCCGTAGCTAGCCTTTTCTGTCCAGCTTGTGGTGAATGGGTTTCTCTGATTCCCAGTATTGCCAAATTGTATCTCCTCATTTCCGTTGCTATTTGACTGGTCTTCCCGGTCTCCCACATTGTTCGGACGTTCCGTGTACCTACAAAAATGTTTGCTCTGGTTGTTAGAAGGGGCACCGGCCTCGTGGCTTCCGAAGGAACTCGGCCTTCACCATGAAGCGTCATAATTCTTCTAAATGAAGACCTTCTAACTGGCAGGGCAGAGTTTAAGTGGTTTGAATTATTTTTTCTGGTTAGCGTTTTTTAGCGAGTTAGTTTTCTACGGTATGTGGTCGCTAACCGCATGCACAACCCTCCTCCTTTACCCGGGCTTGGGACCGGCAGTAACTCTAGAAAAGCTATAGGCGGAGTTGATGCTAACAAACGAATGTATTATAATTAAAATTCAAAATCAAGTAAACATTGATTGCTAAAGAATAATTATTTACTGAAAGCATCATAGAAATACAATATGCTCTATAATCCAACCTGTTATGTCAGATTCACTTAACCATAGCGGTGTAACAGGAATCCCCAAAGTAATTCTGAAAGAATGATATAACAAAGAGTGATTATCCTAAGTCGGTCACATCCCTAAGAGGTCGACATGCAGGCTTTCATTACTGCAATAACCGCTTTCACCTACGTTAGTCACTGAAAACTTGCACATTCACAGGTCATGTTAATATACTGAATAGACTGGCCTTCATTCTGTTAATCAGCACCTCCTTGTCAGTTTCCGGGCTTCATTTCTTCCTCCATGACTTATTGTTACTTCCGTTTACATATTTATCTGCATACTAATTTATTCCGTTACTGTACCACAATAATTTATATACTTAATGCTACAAATTGAAGAACTGAAAAGTAATTTGACCATCAATAGTATTAAAATCATCTTTACTTAGAACGAGTGTGAGGACTCGCTCTTCAGAAAGATATTGCATTTGGCATGCTACGTTTGTTTTTCTCTACTACTAAAGACACTGCGGATGTTTCATCCGCGACACTCGGTTAGTATTTTTGTTTGCGTGAGTTGTTCGATTCGTTACGTTTTTCAAACGGCCGTCTTTTACCATAAACAGTAAGAGTCTTTTGAAACGTGTAAGAATCCTAAAAATCACCCATAACTTCACAATATCAACCATCGAGAGTTATATTTTTCCGTCGAAATCAGAAGTAGCATATGAACTGAAATATATCTCATCAGGTATTAACTTATATTAATAGTATAGTTCCCAATGTTTTCAAAATAAATGCCAATGGTCTTCCTCAATAATTAGCTGATTAATCAATTTCATAACGGTAAGAGTTATATTTTTCAAATAACTTCCAGAAAGCATAACTAAATTTTAACTAAATTCATAGGTAAAACCACTCATATCTGACAAGCATCAGCATAACATATTGACAGTTCACAAAAACAGTTTGCCTTTTTAATTTGAGTGTATCTGAGTGTATCCAACTCCATATTAGGTTCCGATTTCCCTAAGTAATTCCTACAGAAGTTGTAGCCTGACGTCGACCACTTCATGGTCTTCGTGAGCCAGTCATAAGGAACTGAATTCTCAAATCACAGGCACACGCCAAGCTTTTAATAATGGTTTCGCTCACTCGTGCGCACTTCTGTCACTTTAATTCTTAGAACTATATATTTGGTGGCCAAACTGATAAGTAATTACATAATGCAAACGAACTGATGAACTTTTAAGCATGATCTTGTACAAGCATTTTTGATTTCACTACTGTAGCAAAAATAACTAAAAGTAATGAAATGTAGGAAATTCTTAGTCCTTTCTAGAGTCGGTAAAATGATTATAATTTCCTGAAATAATATTAGTTAGCTACATTTTATTAGAGTAATAAACTGATCAGTGCGAATAACTGAAATGCTTGCGTGCTGTAAAAATATACAAAATGATAACTAAAATCAACAAATCTGACTAATGACTTGGTAGATGGGCAAAATATCAGCCATTTGAATTGTCGTTCACCACAAACTTTATATGATCAAAAATTAATTGCTATTTATGTATATATAACAGTAATATTTTCGTTTTTACATGGATTGGCTTCTGGTAGAGATGCATAAATGTCTCACGATATTTATTGGCCGAAAGTAATCGCTTCTTTCGTCTTAACCACTAGCTTAGACAACGATTATTAACATTTCAGTTAGCCTAAATAATGTTTAAGAGTGAACAAAAGTTCTGGTCTTAAAATTGGCAAAACTTACGCATTAGACTCTAGGTCATGTTCATCGGTAATCTAAACCTCTTTCTAACAGTGGATTTAATCATTTGTAAGTGTTCTACCCACTTAAAACAATACCCGAATCATATGTCGTCTTTTTTCACATGAATCAAAACTACAAAATATTCATCAAGGATCTGAGTGCTATTTTATAGGGTTGAATAAATGAAAACTGACAAATTTGGACATAAATATATCTATAATTTTCTGAAGTTCAGTTAGTAGGCTGTATTGTATTCCTATGATAGACGCTTGGTATACAGCTGAACTCATTGTTTCGTAGGGGTTAAGAACTCAATCCGATTGTCAGTCTTGAAGTGGATAAAATTAGAGTCAAAAATAGGTGTAATCAGTGTCAAAAGTGGAGTATTAAAATGTCCATTTTGCACGCTTTGTTTAAATAATGGTGAATCTGTTGCTTAAATTTTATACTAATATAAAATAATTTGATGTCACAACCGGTTTAGTGATAGAATTGGTTAGAAGAAAAGAGGTCTGGTACAAAATATAACCACGTGTCGCTGATTACATTATGAAAGCACTGAGCCTAGTATTGCAGCGTTCTGAGGTATCGTAAGCAAGCGCTTATTTGGAGTTTATTAAGTTCTACTGATGCCTTCAGAATTTTAAAGCTCTGTTGCATATCGTTCTACGGTCTAATCTTTGTTTAATCCATAAAGTTCAGTTACTCATGGTTTATTGGGTTTTTGCTCCATAACACAATGGTAAATGTGTTTTGTTAATAATTATAGAGGTTCATTAAACCAGTATCATCACAAAATTCATCCAAAACCGCCTGTATTTTTAGATATATCAGAGAAATTGACGAAAAAAAACTGAACAAACGTTATAAATTTCAATGATATTCACTATTGAAACGTAAAGATATTTTTAAGAATCTACTGCTCCTTCTAAAACTTTAATTCAAGTCTCCAGGGTGAAGTTATTGTTTAACGTAACTGCTTGAAATTTAGTTGCTGCAATCAAGTTTTGTTCACTTTTTATCTGTGAAAATACGGTTAAAACATGGAATAGATTAACTTTAATCATTATCTTCATGTTCTTACATCAATTTATCAGTTTTTACTCTGGGACCTTAGCTAAAATTTCATTTTTATAAACTAGCATTAATGTTGCTGAGTTATATTACCTAAATTAAAACCTATGCAACTTTCATATTTAAGTACACGGAGTTTTTTACTGCTTTATTTTTAGACATGTTGTGCACTGTTACACTAATCTGCCGTAAATCAAACCATTTCAGTAAAAATTGGTATTCTAAACGAGTCACATACCGTAAACTGTGTACACAAAAATATATTGACTTGGTTCTAAAATCTAGTGAATATCTTCCAGCTGTAAACGAGCATTTTGGAAAATACATTTTATACAGTTACTAGGGATTAGTCTTTATTGCTCTTGAATATGCATAATCTGCAAATTTCAACTCATGGAAACAAAAGTCGAATATGTCGGTTATGGAGACATTATCGTGTACTACTATGGAAAGACTACTTGCTACGTCGTCGGGGTTTTTGGCTCATAGTAGCTGAGTCACTCTTTGTCTTAATATTTGTTGTTGCTATCGCTATTATTCGAAGGCGTCATGCAGTTGACACCAAACCATCATGTTACTTTCAAAGCCAAAGCATGTCAAGTATGGGATTATTGAATTATATCCAGTCATTAGTCTGTAATTTCAATTACACATGTAATGAAGAAAATCCGCAGAGTTTTGTTACGTTAAATGGTGTCGCTCCCATGATTTATTTTCTTGATAACTTAACGCATGTGGCAGAAGATCCTCTTTTCAATAAATGGTGAGTATAGTTTCTTATCTTTTTAAATTGAGACGCTATTTATCTTCTTTCGTCAGATTGGGCTGGTATTTAACATTATTTCTTGTTCTATGATAGGGAAGGGGTTTAAACAGGGGTGAAAGTTGCAGCTGATTTTAAATCATTAACGTGATGCGTTGTTGATTCTGTCCTCTGTCAGACAAGCTAAAAACCTTGTTAGATAACATAGTAGGGGCATCATTTAGCCGCCGTTAAATGCTTTCTTACTTTACTTCTATTTCTTCACTGAAACAGATCGTTCAACCAATTTATGAGACCATGTAAATACGGTTAGAATCAAGTAAGTTAGATTGACCAGACAATACTCTCTTTAAATGTTTAACTGACAACAGTTATGTTTCATGATTTAATTTGTTCTGGTCAACGGATGGCATTGATTTATTCACCTTTCTTGGACGATCTACTCATTTGTTTGCTTAGTGATCTCAACAGATGTTCATATCTTAGTTATACAAAAGACATTATCCAGTCACCAAGAATAATTATCAACTCTCGAATTTTATGTTGTACGCCATCGGTGTACATCAGTTATTATGCGAAGCCATTCTTACTCAATATATGAACCCCATAATTATCTTGTTTGTTAAGAAATCTTTAGTAACGAATCTTAGTGGATGGTGAAGCTGAACTTTATACGTTGTGCTGTTACTTCTACTGAGACTATCCGAAAAGTCCAATTCGCCAAATAAATAATTTGTTGTATCGTGATTAATTACCTTGCAGAATTATGGTCTACTTAGTTTTTAGCAGTGCTCTAATAATAGATCTAATCCTAAAATTGTAGATTTCTCATGATGTGACTATCTAATCTATAAGATCTTACGTGGAAGTAACATCATCGTTTACGCTGATTCGTCCTATCGTAATCATCACCAATATATGATGGAGAACACATTTACGCTGGAGATAAAACAATATATTTAATATGAATAAAAGAGACAAGTTACACAAGAATGACCACGCCTGCATGGATGAGCCATGCGATCCGATGAATTGAATTAATGTTACCGCATTCTCCGTAGTTAACTTCCGCTTCGTGTCAATTGTGGAATATAAGTCGTTTCAGTAAATATATGCTCGGTTTCAAAAGTTGTTTGGTCTGGGTTCAATGCCAATACAACCTGCGAAGAACGTTAAATAAATTTTATTGGTTTACTTGTCTGTAAAAAGTAACTCAGCGACAAACAATTACGGATGTTAACATTCTTAGATCTTTTTCGACATGAACTATTCTCCTAACTTGTAATTTATTCTTGTCAGGATGTTATCATAGGACTGTGGTTTATATCTATGTTAGAATTTATTTTTAAGACCGCATTTTATGTATATGACCACCTCGTTAAGAAGCCCGTCATCAAATTAATTCTTATGCTGTCGAATTTCATAACGTCATGGAACCAGAAGTAAAATTTAGCTCAGTAAAATTCTTTAAAATTTCATTGTACTTTGAAGTAAGACGAAATGCAATCCGTAAGAAATAAACACGTGAATTTATGTTAGTATATTTTTCTGTAAATAGAGATAAAAAGCAGCTGAATTTGTAATGTAAATCCACTTTAAGAAATGTAACTTAAGTTTTCTAACCAACGGTTTTCACTACCTCATAAACTTTAGAATCCAGAAAGCATTCTCAAACGTTCAGTAAGTTACCCTTTGACTACATTATATTATCCATGTTTGGTTAAATCAATGTGCAGTTCATTAGATTAGACACTTATTACCCAATTATGCATTCAAGACGTTTGACGTTTCGGATCTTTCCACTGTCTAATAGACCAAATAATGGCATTATCACTTCTCTTTAGTCTAAACAGACGACCTCATTCGTTTACTACCATCAATTTGTTCCTAACATACTTCGATAACTGGTCATAAGGACCTCATGAGTTTTGTAATTACATTTTGAACAAATATTTTTTTCGTGTGAAACTCCTACATAATTTACAAAATAGAGTTTTAGCACCCTTTTTAACTAATTAGTTCATCCACTGTAGCCGAAAAGCTAAAAGTTTCTGATTAGATATTCAGAAATAAATTTCGAAATACTACACTCACCGAATTTAAGTAGTTTTTCAGTACTAATGTAATAATGATACTGGAAACCTATCAGGATTTGACATTGATTTCCTCACCAATTATAAATTATTTATGTAAGGCTTTAGATACGGTTTATTACATTTTAAAATAAAAAAACTACCGGTATTTAAAAAGAAATCAAGATGTATTCACCAAATATTTCTCCCCTAATTTTTGGTTTAGTTCAAAATTTTAGGCTATGGTTGCGTGCTCAATTTATTGGTTACAAAGTTATCATTCTAAACCTGGTGTAGTTTTTTCAGCTTATAGACAACTTATATGGTTGGATAAAAGTGTTTATAGGAATTGAGATGCACTTAATTTTGTAACTAGTACAAAAATTAACTTTATCTTATGATAGTAACATTAGTTCAGTGTTGTTTTTTTAATAAATGAATGAAGTTTAACAAAACCCTATATATTTACATTTTAGTAAGCTGCATGAACGCGGAATACTTCAGGCTAACAAAACTTCCAAAGACTGATCATCATGTGTAGTTAAACATTTAGCAAATAATTTCCAAGCATATCATACTTTAGGTTAATGGCCTATAAAGAACACCTCACAATGCAAAATGTTTTATTGATAAGATGAATCTATGATTTGACATTTATGTAATATCAAAACCATTTAACTGAATTTTGTGTGATAGAAGCATACTGTTTTACATAAACGTATTTTTGATAAATTACAATATCTTATTCTTCAGAATGCAGTTTTATTTTGCAGTTAATAACCGAAGTGAGCATGATATATATATTCATAAATAGACCAGTGACAGACAAACCATAAACACTGTATTTTCAATTAACCATTGATAATATTCTTACTTTGTATCCATCTTGCATCGAACTCATCATTTTTCACTTGTAGATCCATGTATTCCATTAATAGACAATACATTAGACAAGAGTTTCTTATCTTGATCTTTTACCAATAACTTTTAGATTAGGTTGATTTAACATCAACTGTAGTAACAGTAGCTGTGTCTTAGTGATTCAGCTACACAATTTTTAACAAGTGGATTTACTTTATCATGAGAAACTGATTAATATTATGAACTTCTACTCTAAGGATTCACATACCTACAATAAATAAAATCAAGTTATGAACATTATTGGGCAAATGATCAGTACATGATCGTTTTTGTTCAAGTTTTGATTATTTATTCAAAGTAGATCAAACCAAACTATAGTTTTATAGATAAATCTAATATCTTAAACAAATATTGTGAAATTGCGAATTTTACCAAAGTCTAACACTTTTAATCTTCATAAATAATGTTATTTGACAACAGAAATCACTAAAAATAATTTCCTACCGATTTTTTGTTTCATTCTCTTTTCCTATATTCATGACCTTGACTCAAAAGTTAACATATACGGCTAACACCAAGTTACAAAACACCGGAAATTAGATTTTACGGCCCATTGGATTAGTATAAATAAGTTGCTTACGTCAATAATCTAATTTATAACGTTTTACGTTAAACCGTTGTTGGTATTTTTGACTGAATTTTGATCACTGTAAATTGGTATATGTACATGTTACCTCAATATTACCATTATATCACAAGTTTTTACAAAATAGATGAGATCTGTTGAAGACTAGAATCCAGGGCGCGCGTTTTATCCTATTTCCGACGCATTATCAAAATGTACCTTCACTCCGTGTTTGATGTTGACATCAGAACTCTAACCTAGCAGCTTTTATTTTTGGCTACTGGACACAATACCTTAGTAGACAAGGGATTTCGCTTTTGAGGTCAAAGACACTGGGTTTTGACCCCATGTGTGAACATGAAAGAAGGGGTACAGGTTCACATAGCTGAAGAGAATTACACTGTGAGCCTTATTTAATACATACTGTATTTTTATCATGATGAATGAAGAATAAATCCCATTTCCTGTCTGTTTGAGGAACATGTTTCATTTCAGACATTTGTTTCTAGCTTACTAAATCATGTATCCTACTAAAAGTCCTGGTCGAAATTGTTCTGCTTAAGTAAATTCATCTGACAATTATTTATTAGCCATTATGCATCATCTGATTGAAGTTTGGATAAATCTGAAAATGAGTTCTGCTACGAATTAAATTATTTTAAACAATTACAGATGAGAAGTATTGTAGTGTTAACTGTGTAATTGAAACATAATTGTTTTTTGAAAAATGTTTGTTTGGTTGATAACTACTCGTTGATATCATTTTAATCTTAAGAATTATCGCTTTGCATCTTTAATGAAACGATTTTGTTTGCTTGGGTGAATACATAGAAAGTTGTACAAGTATCAACTGACCAACAACCATTATTAAGACAGCTTACAAAATGTTTGCAGTAATGTTTTTTTGCACTCATCTTTGATGGTTATTAGTTTGAAACTATCGAAATGTTCGTGTATGTCAGTAATTATATGATTAAAAACGAGGCTACTGTTACCAACTTTCATATATCTGACTGCAAAAATATGACTATTGATTTAATTTTTTCCTTGACAAGGTCAATTATGCAATAGTTTGATTATATCAATGTCACTTTATGTTCATGAACTCTGGGTTATTCCAGCTTTAATTATATAACAGCTTTGTAGGTTTAATTCCCTCTTCGAACCTATAATGTTGCCTAATTTTAACTTATGTTTTATACACTATAATTGATTTTCAGAAAACATCAACAAAATATAAAGGCCAATTTAGTTTGTATTCACTAAACTATTTCCTCTGATACTATTACCATTGACTGGTTTACATAAATGACTTGTCCATAAAGAATCTATTATTACTGATAAGTTGTGGGGCCACCAAATGCCGTGCTACGACCGACGATGGGTAAATTCCTCTCTCCCTCACTAAGTGTCCTCACATGGCCACACATATACAGCCACTGTCAGGGAAGTCCTACCCACTGCCCTTGTCGTGGCGAATGTCCGGTACTTCAACCGAGTTGGTGAATATGAAGGATCCACCTAGCGGAGTTAAAAAACTCTGATTCCAAACCGATGATTCAAATTGGTTTCAGGATTCTGAGAGAACAAATAACATATGAACCTATTGTTGGTCACCAACTACCATGGGTCTTCATCTCCTAACGTTGCTCCACTCGCTTATGGATTAGATCTTCAGGTCAAATGCTTGGGTAGTGGCTCCCCTAAGAAAACCACCTGTCTCGATTTGGCCGACCGAGCAGTATCACAGCCCTCGCACAAATCACTGATAACTACTATTGGCCTCATTGTTACAGTGTGGCGTATATGCATTTAGTGCTTTCATGTACCAATGTCCATATGAACAAATAAATAGATGTGTTATGGGTCTTGAATTTCTTTCACTTGACAATTAAGGTCATTTTCAAGTTATTTCTGTGTTACATGTAGTAATCTGTGATTTTAAATGCTTTATGGGGTACTTCAAAGTTGATCACATTAATTAATGATAAGATATATTCATTATTAATCTTTTCATTGTTTATAACTAGAATATGATTACATACTTTTTTTTTAAAAATTTTTCAATCTCATTTGTTTTAGTTGACATATGCTTCATTTTATAGTTTCAAAAACATTATAAGTATTTGTTTTTCACATCTATCTGTGTTAATATAAGAAATAAGACAATTTGCATTTAATATACACTTGTTTCAAATCATTTAATGTTTCATTTATGGTATATGTATTTAATTTCTGATGGATTGAGTCACATGATGTACATAAGAACTGATCTTACTATTCAATGAACAATTTCAAGTTACTTACTATTTCATTTGACCATTTATGAAAGAAACATTGAATAAGGATAATAACATTTTGTATAGCTAACTATGTTTATCAATGTGGCTTAATATAAACATAATATAAATTAATATAGGTGCAAACTACTTAATTGGTGTTTGATTGATTATTATAATCAGTGATTTGAAATATTGAAGGAAATGACTCAGCATCGTTTACAGTGACGTAGATGTATTTATACTTTGTTTTCCTTTAAATCTTTAGTTTCAAAACCAGATTATACTTTTTCTCTTTCGATGCTTCTTTTCTGATACTAATATTGTTACTTCTACTACTCTGGGATCTGTCTCTATGTCAATGTTGTGTTAACTTGAACTGATGAACACAAATTCTGTGTTACACATGATTAGTTGATTATATTTTAGTTATGATGATAAGTAATAAACTGTGTATATTTAGTATTTGATGTGGTAAATCTTGCTTTCGATAAACCTAATTTGCAAAAAGAAGTCATTTCATGCAACATTTAACCATAAACAAAATTTAGTATTAATTTAATGATCCTATTTTCTAATCAGATAGTGATTTTGTGGAGATTGTAGTAATTTAATAATTGAATTCATGAGTCAATGGAAGCTAGACCGCTATGAAAAACATGAAAGCACTGGACGGTCGTTTCATTCTAATATGGTGGTCTACCTTCAATTGACTTAAGAATTCAATTTTATCTTCTAATGTTAACCCTGTTATATATAAATGTTATAAAGGTATTATGAAATCATTTATTTCATTAACTAGAGATATGTGTTTAAAAACATCATTCAATGGAATAGAATATATGTTGTAAAATTACACTTTTGTATCCACTTTTAAAAAAAGCTACCCACAGTATTCTTATAGTATGTATAGTTTATGCGATTTCATAAAAAAAAGCAACGTAGAAATGTAAAAAAAATGAGATCCAACAATAAATAAACAAGATGATAATCATTGAACATACATTATGAACTATCAGTACCGAGTTGTGGAGAATTTTAAGTTTTAATTGAGATCGTGAATTGATCAATGTTAAACTAGCATTGAAAACAAAACACTATTGTTACATTAATTGTATTTCTTTAACTCTGATCAAATATATAAGTATTTCAATTAGTTTATTAGAGTAAATGATTAAAAACAAGACTTTGTTTAAATCTTCAGAATCATAGGACTGATAAATACTAGAATAATATATTTTCGTTTCAATTCAAATCGTGCTAATTTACCTTGTGTTCAAAATTAGCTTAAACATTTATAGATTGCTTGTTAACTAGTTTAGATATTCAGTTCAAAACAAATTTAGTTGATCATAACTTTGATCAATAAATTTAATCATTTCGAGACCTATAAGACAATTACCAACAGGAACTACGAAACAGATTTATAGTCAATGGATTTCAACTCAATTTATTTGTATGTTGATTAAATACTGTTGTAAAATATTAGATTGTTTTAATTTTTCATACTAAAAGATTGCTATCTCTTCTATTTATAATTGTATTGCTCAAACTCCATGTCCTGATCAAATCAATCAACCGTTGATTATTGTTAATCATCTATAACTTGTTAATCTTTTAATCTCTTATCCTTTCGTTTATACTCCTTTATGTTATACATTTTCTACTTTTATATTTTTTTATTATTACAGTCGGAATAGTTTTATTAATCCTTTCTATTTCATTTCATAAGAAAATAACTTTATCACATTTACTATTTTCAGTGTGTTACTATTAATTTGTGTATATTTACATTAGACAGTAAAAATACATTTCTACCAGTTAATCTAGCAGCAATGAACACCTGAAACAATTTCCTCTTTGTCATTACTAAACGTAGCATCCAAACTGACGTATGTTTCGTAGGTGGTAAGTTCCGTCTGTTGGATCAACAGCATTGTAACATCTGTGGGAGTGGAAACCTCGATCTGAAACGGTGTTTGAGGCATCCTACCGTAAACAACTTGATACACATTGTTATACACTACACTACATTATTCTTCGGACATAGGTCTTACAAACGAATGTAACGATTTTTTGACGCTTGCCTAGCCCACTCTTTTAAATTCAGCCTCCGTTGACCTGCACATTCAATAATTACTATCGTACCTCAGGGAACTGCAATCATAATTGTGATGTACATTCCAGCAAACAACAGTCTAGTAACCTTCAATAAACTTACAAAAGATGAAGGCCGGACATTGAGTGTTCATGGAAGTCCTTCATGGAAAATATAATATAACTAATCAAATTATCTCCTTCGTCTAATCGGCTGTGAGGAACTGCTTAATGTTCTACGGTCGTTTCTCCAACATACAAATTTAATGTTCGACTTCCCATCTCTCATCGCATAATGGCAGTACGTAGCTCTTTCATAGGTTCTGATGGCTCTCTTTAACGCTTCAAGTGATCAGAACGTTACAAGATACAATGTATTCAATAATGTGTCCTTCATTTCTGTGACAACGTGAGAAATGACAGAGCTCGTAATCTTTACGTTCATATGGTCCATAATTTGAGGAAAATGTAGTCTGTCGACAAGTACTGACATTTTATAAGAATTTTAAGAAAGCATTGACCAATTTAAAACTAGTCATTTAATTGGTCGTAACGGAATGATACCAATTGGAAAATGGGATGAAAAATTTTTTCCAAAAGGATGAAAAAAATTACAAAAATGGCCTGGCGTTTAATGATATTCCCCACCAAATGTCATATATGGAACAGCTTTATTTGGATAAGTATTTAGTTACTATATTGATTGTATTATTCAACTTATCTTTCGTTTATGATCGCTGAAACATTAATTGTAATGAAGAATTAACATTGGTGGATATGATCTTGTAACATGTTGGAGAGTTAAGGATAACCTCACCCATATCATTATTAAAAATGCTATAGTGCTTAAATTGCCACCAATGTGTTATATTTTTTAAGTACGTCAACAAGTATAAATTTACTCCCATATCTTTATTCCGTTATCATGTATTCATGTTTACCGATTCGTAGTTAACCTTTGTAATAACCCAAATGATAACTAGCAATCAGTAACTCCTTATAATTTCAGTCATATTTAGCTTCTTTGTTACTAATAAAATTCAAGTTAACTGAAATGAAATGGATGATTTTTTTAATTCTATGATAATCAAACTGAATCATCGACTGACTTGGAAATATTGGTGTTATACATGGTATTGATGATGTAATTCAGATTTTTATGCTACAACCAATCATTTTGTACAGAGATAAGCAGTTTTACATTCCTAAGCAAATCTTCATGGTTTCTTTATTTTATTTTATTTGTAGGTTAAGTGAGCCAGCTACATTTGGAACAGAACAATTCATTGATTGGATATCACTTGGCTTAAAGTTAACTCGTCTACAAAATTCTGCTAATAATCTACGAATATGGATAAATGATTATCTTACAGTATTTAAAAATAGTTCTAGTATACAATCATTGGAATATATGTCACAATTAATTTGTGGTTCACCAGCGAATGAAAATGATTTAGGTCGATTTTTCATTGAACTAAACCAAATGAATATGGAACAAGATAATTCAAAATCATCTAACAATATACCTATAATTGATCATTTAATATCTCAATTTAATGATCTATTTGATATATCAACTTTAGAAAAAATGCTACCTGAAAAATCATTACCAAATCTTAATCTATGTCCAATCATTAAACATTTATTAAATTCAAAACCATTTTTTATAACAATGGGTCGTTTACGTTATTTTTTATTTGGTAATATAGCATATTATCCATCGAATCAATTTACAGATGAAATTATTCATAATATGGGTATATATACACGTATATTACGTAATATTCGTCAATTAATTCATTTATATTTTAATGAATTACGTCCATGGTTATTCAATATTCATTTTATTATTAATAATAATAATAATCAAATCAATTTAATACAAATCAAAAATCAATTAAAATATTGTAAAGATAATAAATTTGGTATTATTCCAAATGAAATACAAAAATTATGTCATTATTTTTATAATTATTTTATTCAACAAAATTATCATAATAATCAATTAAATTGGAAATTATTATTAAATATTATTGATTTTTTTATGAATTTATTTAATGATTTATTAACTAATTGTTTACAAATTGATAAAAAATTTATTCCATTTAATAATTATAATCAATTTATAATTATCTAATGAAACAACAAAATAATTTATTATCATCACCAATTGGAATTATATTTAATCAATTACCGGGTTATTTAAATTATACCATTTATAATCAATCAATAAATGATAATGATAATATTTTTAAAAAATTAATAAATTATCCTAATATTTTATCAATAACATTACGTAATAATCCATTATTTATATATGAAACAAATCATTATCAATTTACATCAAAATATCCTATAACAATGCCAAATCGTGATCCACAAACTGAAATGAAATATTTTACAAGTGGTTTTATAGATATACAAGAACAATTAATTCAATCATTTATCTATATTACATCAATAAAATTTAATATAACTAATATATATAATCAATTAATGAATAATATTGGCATAGAAATGAAAATGTTTCCTACTACTACATATCATTTTGATCCATTATTAATAAATATTATATTTTTATTACCACAATTAATGATATTAAATTGGATATTATCAATTATATTAACTGTTAAATATATGATAGATGAAAAAGAAAATCGATTAATTGATTATTTACGTATATTTAATATTAAAATATATATGAATTGGTTAGCATGGATAACTATATCATTATATTAATGTCTATATTATCATTATTCATTGTAATTATATTAAAATATGGTAATATATTACCATTAAGTAATATAATATTAATCTATTTTATAATAATGAATTATATTATATCATGTTTATTTTATTGTATTATATTTACATTATTAAATGTTAAATCAACAATTGCATCAATATTATCTGGTATAATATATTTTTTATTATTTATGCCAGCATCGTATTATTAAGATATAATGAATTACCTAATGATATATCATTAATACCATTTTGTTTTATACCACAAGTTAGTTATTCATTATGTTGGATATTTATAAATCGTTTAGAATCAAAAGGTACAGGTGCACAATGGTCAAATCTATGGGAAACAAATAATTCTAATAGTATATTATCATTAGGTAGTTCAATGATATTTTATGGATTGGAATAATTCTATTAAGTATATTAACATTTTGGGGTATACCATTTATAATTAAATGTTATGTAATAGTTATACAAAAATTTCAATCAAATTGTATCATAAATCATTCAACATCAATGAATAATATTAAAAAACGAAAAAAACGTAAAGTAAGCAGTGGTAATCAATTAGATCTATCTATGAATACTTCACAATTATTAATGAATTCATTTCAAACAGAAAGACAAAGTTTAATCCATTCTACTATTATGACATCAATGAATAATGATCATTCGCATTCAATTATGATATCACCATCTGTAATTATTGATAATTTATCTAAAATATATCAATCATCAAAACGTGCAGCATTATGTAATATCAATATGAATTTTTATGAAGATCAAATTACTGTGATATTAGGATGTAATGGAGCTGGTAAAACTACTCTCCTTTCTATTTTAGTTGGAATACTTGAACCTACACAAGGTAAAATAATTATGCATGGAGAAGTAACCAATAAACGTTTAGATATTTTACGTAAAATGTTAGGATATTGTCCTCAATATGATATTTTATATGATTCATTAACAGTTGCTGAACATATTCATTTATTTGGTACATTAAAAGGAATGAGTCGTTTAAGTATCAATCAAAAATTGGATGATTATCTACAGAAACTTGGATTAACTGATAAACGAAATGAACAAACCTCTAAACTTTCTGGTGGTCAACGAAGAAAATTATCATTATTTTTAGCCTTTTTAGGCAATTCATCTGTAATAGTACTTGATGAACCAACAGCTTCATTAGATCCATTTTCACGACGTGCTGTTTGGGATTTATTAAAATCGTTACGTAAAGGACGTACAATCATTTTAAGTTCACATCATATGTATGAAACTGATTTATTAGCTGATCAAATTTCCATTATTTCTGAAGGTAAAGTACTTTGTTCTGGTTCTAGTTTATCATTAAAATCAGCTTTTGGTTCAGGATATCACTTATCATTAGAAATGGATCCATTAAATACAAACAATTCTTCTGGAAACAACAACAGTTTCACAGAATTATTAAAAGCTATACAAATACATGTTAATGATGCTCGTATATTGAGTCAAAATGCAAATAAATTAATTATTCATTTACCAACTTGTGATGCATTAACTGGAAAATTTACAAATTTATTTCAACAATTAGATAATGATGAATTTCGTCAATTATATCATATAAAACATTATGAAATTGCTAATTCTTCATTAGAAGAAGTATTTCTTTCAATTACTGGTAATATACAAACAACTATAAACAATTCAAATGATTATGAATATATAGAAAACTATGATGATGAATATAATGGTAATATTGAAGTCAATCATAAATCAAATCTAGAAGAGATTAGTTTAATGAATAATAATTATCAAAAACAATATCCACCTAGTCAATATCGTAATCATTTAAGAAGGAAACCATCTTTTTTAAATATGATAAAAGCAATGTTTTATAAACGTTATATTTATTTAAAACGTAATAAATTATCATGGATTATTGAATTTATCTTTCCATGTTTATTAGTATTAACTGGGATAGGATTTTTAGAATATTTTAAACCAAATAATAATATACAACTACCAATGGATATTAATCATTGGATTATGAAAAATGAACATATTTCTAATGAATTATTACATTTTTATACACATAATACTTATCATGAAATAGATTCATTTCAATCTTATTTAAATTTATTAAATAATCCATTAAGTTTAACTGGTATTGGTTGTATTTCATCAAAATTACATACATTTCAACCAAATATTAATTCTAATTGTTTAATTCAATCAAATGGTCAATTCATAATAAATAAAAATTATTTAACAAAAAATTGTGAAAAATATTCATTACAACATAAATTTCCTTGTTATCCATTAGCTACTGGTGATATACTACTTAATTTAAGTAATATTGATATATCAGATTATTTAATGAATAATACAAATTTATTATATAATATTATGTTTGGTGGTATTGAATTTAAAACAAATAAATATTATGAATTAAATCAAATTATTTATAATTTATTTAATAAATTAAATAATTATTCAATAAAATTAAATCAATCTAATCATTGGAAACAATTTTTAATGGATTTAAAATTTATTTTACCACCAAAAAATATAATACGTTTATGGTATGATAATCGTGGTTATTTATCATCAGTAGCTTATTTAAATTTATTACAAAATTTACAATATCGTATATTATTATCTAATGGATTAATGAAATTCAATAAACAATATAATGATATAATTAATAATCATCATGTTGATAATAATAATATAATATATCCAACAAATTCTGGAATTATTATCACTAGCCATCCATTACCATATCCAGATTTATTTGAAAATAATAAAATAAATGATGATATTAAAGCAGATTATTTATTATCATTATTTCTTATATTAGCATTATCATTTATACCAGCTAGTTTTATTAGTTTACCTGTATATGAACGTAATAATAATTCAAAACATTTACAAATATTATCTGGTTTATTACCATCAATCTATTGGTCAATAAATTATATTAATGATTATATTACTTATTTATTTTCATCAACATTATGTATAATAATAATTATTATACATGGTAATTCAGCTTATATTCAATCAGATACAATTTATCCATTTATATTAACAATATATTTATATGGTTTAGCTATGGTTTCATTAATTTATTTAGCAAGTTTTTTATTTAAATCATCTAGTACAGCATTTGTATTAATATGTGGTTTAAATTTAGTCATTGGTGCAGTGACAACATTTGTACGTTTCTTTCTTGAAATACTTACACTTGATAGTGTAAATTATCAAACAACAACATCAACAAAAACAACTCAATTTATCAATATGTGGTTACGTATATCACCGCATTATTGTTTAAGTGGTAGTTTTTTTACAATAGCATTAAGAGATTTTTTTAATAAACTTAATATACCATATAAAAATAATAATTCATTATGGAATTTATTAAAAATTGATATGGGATGTTTATTATTACATTCATTATTATTATTTATAATTGTATTATTATTGGAAAAACAATTTTATATCATACAAATAATACATTGGAAAAGAAATAAATTGAAATGGAATCGTTTATTGAATTCATATGTCGGTATACATTATACAGATCTAGAATCAAATATACAAGTGAGTTGTATGTGTGTATTACATGTTGTTATGCAAATAATTTCGTCTTTGATTTTCATGTACGCATTAAATGAATTTAGATCATTTTAGTATGTTCTTTAGTAAACGTTCCTCGGTCCTAAGTTCGAATCCCTCCAGTGAGGTCGTCGATGCCCACTGCTGAGAAGTCTCATACCAGAACGAAGAGGCCGTCCAGTGCTCTCAGGTTTTTCATGATGGTCTAGCTTTAATTGATTAATGAATTCAACTGTTAAATTACTGAAATCCCCACGAAATCCCCTTCTGATAATAATTATCATATGCTCACTACTAACTGGCTTAAAGAGATATTTCCTGGAGTTCTAGTGATAAGCAGTGACCAATCGAGTTCAATCAGGTCTGTTGTGAGATAGTAACTAACTGAAGACATTAGTGGACGGTGGAGCAATTTCGTGGATTTGTTGAAGTTAGATAATAACACCACTGGATGCCGGCTCAGTAGTCTAGAGTTTAAGCGTTCGCTCACGAAACCAAAACATTCTGGGTTTCAGTTTCGCGAGCGAGATCGTAGATGTGCACAGCTGAGGAGTCCAGTGCTTCCAGGTTTTCCATGGTGGTATAGCTTTAACTGACTCATGAATTTTAACTATAAAAGTTTATTTACCTATTTAATTAAATCATTATAATATAAAGAAAATGTCAAAAACACACATTGTAAACATATTAGCTAGAGTATAGCATATCATCAGTCTATATAGGTAATAAGGAAGAAATTTTAAGGTTCTTTTATGCTAAACTTACGTGGACTTTATTTTTACTTTCGTTTATTTCTTATTTTGTATTGCGTAAGATTTCTGTTAGAATCTGAATAACTTTATTTCAGGTTATTAGCTTCAATAATTTTGTTACTTAGATTAAATACACTTTTATACCAGGTTCATGGCTTTCAGCTTGTACTGGTAAGAGATTTGCAGTTAGGTTTCATGAAAAAAAGAACAAACAAACAAGTTGATAGAAAAAGTCACTTTACAATTTATCACAGCTAATGTAGGCGCGACTATAATTTATGGACAAACTAATCAGATATAAGATAACGTGTCATGTAATTTGGCGCGAAATCCATTTATACATTTGGCTAAATAGAGTTTTGGCACTATAACTGATGTCAGTTCGTGATGAAAACCCTAAATCTAATTTTTACCCCTAACTATCAACTGTAAGTCATAATTCTAACTGGTTTATAACTCTCATCGGTAGGCGTCCATTCTCAAGGTCATTTCAGCGTCGCTGAAAGGTCGTTCATAAATTAGTATCGCGCTATTGTAATTAGCTAGGTTTGTTGGAATATTTGTAACACGCAAATTTACTCAATTAAATTGTGGAGTGAATTTCAGAAATGTTATAATCGAAATATTTACCAGTTATTTGTTATCTAACTATCCGGTGGTTAGATATGATAAGCTACCGGTTTTCGGTCTTGTTTTTGATAATGGTAAAATTTCTCATTTTAACAGCTTCATTGATATATGATCTTAAGCTCTCGATATTTTCTTTAGCTGTATTTTGTGAAGTGAATCTGTTATAAACGAGAATACAGGTGAGGTCAACCAATGTACTTAAATACGTGATTACAGAACATCTGGGTAACATATGAGAGCCATGTATTGAATACACCATTCACAAATTTTCATCATTTGTACTTCACATTCTGTGTGATTCTTTCTATTCACAATTCCTTTCTATTTCCTTTCCTATTCTTTTCAACTTGATCGTCTTAACCTTCTGATGCTAGGGTTTTCACTTCCTGCTGGTGTTGCATACTACTTATGTGTGTCGACATAAGTAACATACACCACATACCAATTCAGAAAACTTCATCAATATCCTAGTCAATTATTTGACACTTAAAATTAGTTACTTTTGTACTGTGTAGCTGATTGACGGATATCTGCTCCTACTAATGTTACTACAGGCCATTGGAGACGTGGACAAATATACTCTACTCAAAATCACCAGATTTATTTCATTGAGTTCACATTTATATTAAAATGACTAGTAATATCAAACATTTGATTATTTTTATATGTTATGACCAATGAATTCATTCAGCAATTCAGTTCTTGAAATTAAATAATTGCAGCTAGAATTCTTACCGAAGGCTATCTACCACAAGTCTGATAAAAATTGATGACAGACTATTATCTGAATAGACTGCATTCCACGGCATTCATCAAAGCTGTCTACTTTCCCTACTCCTATTTAATTTCTAAGATTGACATGTTTCTTTAGATAATACCTTTCATCGCCTTGATTTGTAAGTATTCTCTCAAACTAAACCTTTAACTGGATAATTACAATTAGAAGGAAATGATTTGTTGAAAGCAACATACGTAATAGAATTCAATCTGTTACAATAACTTTAAATATGTTAACATATTTGGTTGTTAGTCAAGCTTACTGTATTTGCTGGCTACAGCAAGTGTTGGAACTTATAAATCACAGTTTTCATATTAATAAATCTAAACTACGTATTAATAATTCACATAAGGTTACCTTTTATTATCGTAGAGTACAGAAAGCCCATCTCTTTAATATTGTAAAATGATTACCGTTTATATTATTTTATCGGATTCAATAATCTATACAAACACCCTATACTAAGTTATATTGTAATGAACGAGAACAGCAGTGGGAGATTACCACAGTCATTTGAGTATAAAATCACAGTATCTCTGTGATACTTCATTTTCAAAATGTCCATCAGTTGTCTCCGAATTCATTGTTCCCTCATTTCCTTATCAATCATTCTCTGTTATTGTTCTCATTCTCTTCGATCTTTTCAACCTTTTGCCTTCAGACATTTCACTTTCGATTGGTGCTACATACTACTTATATCTATCGGCATCAATAGCATACACCACAATCAATATCATGAAAATAATTATACTAAAGTAAAATTCTAGTTTACATTTATTGAAATGATAAGTTTTAATTTATTATACTTCCAAAAAAAAATCACTTCATCAGAATCCCAACTTAATAGTCTTACTAGAATACATGATCGTAATTTCTTTATCGAATTTAAGATACTTCCTCTTACATCCACACTTGAATATACAGTTGGCTAACTTTCAAACAATTACATAAATGTAATATACATTAATCATCGAATAAATACGTATCCATTATAATAATCTCTATTAGAATAAATCACACAAATAACTGTCTATTAATTGAAAAAAAATGTATATCTCAAGTATTCTTCAGTAGAGAAGTGAAACAAAAACCAAAACAAATGTGTGTGGGGGCAACCTTCTATGCAGTTGAATCTTCTGAAAATTCTTACTGCATGTATAATGAATTCATCTTGATGAATATTTTAATCATAATGTGATTATACACTGGAGTTTCGTTTGATTTCAATAAACCTATTTCTCAGAATGTTAATGTATTAGGCTTTTATTATGGTTGTGAATTCAGTATAGATAATAGGAAGTTATGATCTGTGGTGAACTTGTTATTTATTAGATCATTCCGTGACCGTTATTCACCATCTTATGACCTCATCTATCTGAAAAAATATTTTTAAATGCTGAAATTAGAAACATGCTGATATATATATATATATATGAATAAGTGCTATTTGTAAACTGAAGTCTGAACAGTGCAACAAATAAGAAAATTAAAAGTTTTATATAAAATGTAACTCCCATTACTCAAAAATCTTCTAGGTTTTGTCGTCAATATATATTCAGAAATTACTTGTGATGTACATCAACTGTGTACAGTTACATTTATTACAGTATGTGGTTGTGGAGATTGTTCTGTTGTTTTTCACTGAGTCCATAAGTCTATTGGTGTTAGATCACCATTGAAAACCTGGAAGTACTGAACGGCCGTTTCGCCCTAGTATGGGACTCCTCAGCAATGCGGGATTGTTAACTTAACAACCTCTACAACTCCATAATCATCATGTGCTCACTAGTGACTAGCTCCAAGATAGTTTCCTGGATTTTTAGTGAGAAGCCGTGACCAGTGGAGCCTTATTCGTGTAGGGCGGTGACAGTTATCCACCTCAGACAATGTAAGAATTGCTGCGCTGTTATTCATGGATCGATGGAAGTTAGACATTAACATCGTTAGATACCAGTTCAATAGTCTAGACGTTAAGCGTTTACGCACGAAACTAATAGGTCCTGAGTTCGAGCCCGGTGTGCGGAATCGTGGACGATGAACGATGGATGAAACGGCCGTCCAGTGCTTCCAGGTTTTCGATAGTTGTTTAGCCTTAATCGACTCATGAATTCAACTATTAAATGTGAACTGTTTCATCAATTGTTGACGTATTATCATTGGCTTGAATAATGTAATATTTCATATTTCTAAGTTAATTATGTCCATTACATTTGTTCATTTTATTTATGTGTGCATTTTATTTTTGTTTCATTTACCCCCTTTTTATTAAAGACGAAAACAGAAGATTCATCTTTAAAACCAAAATATGCAATCAATGTAAAATCAGTATGTAAACATTATTGGTCTCAAAAGAAACCAACAGTAGAACATTTAAATTTCACTGTTCAACCAGGTCAATGTTATGGTTTACTTGGTGTAAATGGTGCTGGAAAATCAACTACATATTCTATGTTAACTGGTCATTCTACAATAACACATGGAAATATTTATTTAAATGGTTATGATATAACATTAAATAAAGAGAAAGCATGTGAAAATATTGGTTATTGTCCACAACAAGATGCTTTATGTGAATTTATGACACCACGTGAACTATTGACATTTTATAGTTATTTAAGACATCCCAATCATCACCATCATCATCATCATCGTCATGATCATCAAACATTTAATCATAAAAATCAAGTCAATAAAATGATTGAATTAATTGGTTTACAACAATATGCTGATTGTTTAATACATACATTATCTGGTGGTAATAAACGTAAATTATCTAGTGGTATAGCATTTATTGGTAATCCAAAAATAATATTTTTAGATGAACCATCAACTGGTATGGATCCACAAGGAAAATATTTATTATGGAATAATATAAAAAATGCTATAAAATTAAATTGTACTATATTATTAAGTTCACATTGTATGGAAGAATGTGAATTATTATGTAATCATATTGGTTTATTAATTAAAGGTAAAATCTGTTGTCATGGTAGTCCATTAAAATTAAAACAACAATATGGTTTAGGTTATTATATTGATTTACAATTTAAATCAAATATATTAAATTATATCAATAATAATAATAATCATATCAATGATTTACAAATATTATTACATAATTATTTACCTAATTTTCAATTACGTTATCCCTTATTAACAAGACAAGAATATCATTATAATAATAATGATAATAATAAACCATTATGGAAATTATTTAATGCATTAGATCAATTAAATAAACATAATATCATTGAAAATATATCAATAAGACAGTCTACATTAGAAGATGTATTTGTTAATTTATAAATTTATATAAAAATAATGAATTATCTAATGAGTAATATGATAATGATTTGGAGTAGTTTCTTTCTTTCTTTCTTTCTGTGTTTTTTTTTCGGGTCTTTTTTTGTTGCTTTTTTCACTTGGAAACTGTTGAAATGACGAATGATTACGTAATAAGAAGAATGATAGTCTTCTCAGTAATAATGAAAGCAAATCCGTTTTATACATATATTGAAATGACAATGGATTATATAATAGAGAGAATGACAGTCTTTCCAATAATAATAAAATCAAATCTATTATATGTGTATGCACATTTGATTGTAATTAAACATTAAACATAGATATTCTCTATTCTCTAAATTTATATTTTGTTTATTTAGTTATTTGTTGATTGTTTCATTGTCAATGAATTGACTGTATGGTTTCTGTACACAGATTGTATAATTAGATTCAATCTTCTTGTTTTTTTCTTTAAGATAAAATGGTTTCACTTTTTTTTTAATAATTGTCCTTTTAAATCTGCTTCGGTTTGGGCACCCGGGCAATATCACAGCCCTCACACATATCAATTGAGATTTGTGTGGCACATGTGTATTTGGTGCCTCCTTGTACCAATATCAATATGTTAAAATAAAATAAAATTATATCCTTTTAAACACAAAAATAATATCCTATTGTTACCTATATGGTTATTTGTTTATGGCGAGTTATTACTGATTTTTTCTCTCTCCCTCTCCATTCTATTGATGTTTATTACTTTTATGATAGATATATGTATAATATGATCTTGGATCTTAAATTGTTGAATAAATTTATGAGATCAATTATTTTAATATACAGTTTATTATTTGATTGTATTTGTTGTTAAATAAATGGAGAATTCAATATTTTATCTTTTATATATATATGATACATTTTTTTTTGTTTGTTGTTGGAATCAAGCTCAGTAAAATTATGTAATTAATAAACGAATTGATTCGGTTGAATGACAAATGAAATAAACAAAACTTATGGTAAATATGAGAAAAGTTATCAAATTGTTAGAATCATTTGGAGTTAAACATGTAAATCATTGAATGCTAGATGAATGGTTCAGAGGTTGAGCGTTGACGTATAAAATTGAAAATACTGGGCTCGACTCCCGGATGCGATGTCAAGTATTTGCACTGCTTTGAAATTTCACACTAGAATGTAACGACCGTCCAGTGCTGTCGGTTTTTCATTGGGTGATTATAAAAATTACTATATAGAAACCAGAGAACAATTACACTGTCTAAGAGTAAATAGCGATTGCTTTCATTTTTACCACTTTAACCGATCTCTGCTATACCTTTAACACCCAGTCTCTTCATAGGTTCAATTATGAATAATATTTCAGTGCAACATTAAAAATTGAATAACCACTGTTTATTTATTTATTTGAACACATAAATAATGGTGCAATGAAGCACTGAATACATATGTGCCACATAAATCATTCGATTTATGTGAGGACTGTGATACTGCCCGGGTGCCCAAGCCGAAACAGGTGGTTTTCATAGGGGGCCACACCCCGAGACTTCGACCTAAAGGTCTGATCTACAAGGCAGTGGAGCATCGTAAGGAGATGCAGTCCCATGGTAGTCGGTGACCAACGATTGATTTGTACGCCATTTGTTCCTTCAGTATACTGATGCCCATGTGCGTTATTGATTTTGAATCAGGGTTTTCCAACTCCCCTAGGTGGACTCTCCATGTCCACCAACCCGGTTAAAGCGCCGGACGTTCGCTTTTCGTCCTCTTAATTTCAAAAACAACACCATCACCACGCGAAGGCAGTGAGTAGTACTCCCCTGACAGAGGCTATATACGCGTGGTCATGTGAGAACATTTCAGAGGGAGAGCGGACTCTCTCCAATCTCGGTTGTACCAGAGCATTCGGTGGCGAATAGTAACTGTACGATTTATCTGTTCTTATGACGATGAAATCGATTATTATATAAGTGTATATGTTTTTTTCAGGCATGTATGATCGATATCACAATGAAAATGAGTATAAGTAATGCCTACTGCCCTACTGTTTCGGTTATCTAGCTAAATTTATTACTACGTAAATCTCAACGGTAACGTTTAAGATCATGAAACCGGCTAATGTGGAATAAAATCCCCCAGGAAACACATTTTTCTTCTCTCCTCCCCAAGGTGCCAGATATGCTTTGCTGACAAAGATTAGCTAGCTCAAAATCTAGATACACACGTTTCTCGTAAAAACTTGCAAACATTTTATTCAAAATTAATTAACTAAATATATCAAATTAAAATCCAATTTACAATATGTTTAACTAAGATCATGAACCGATAAATCTTAGACCATCATTGATTACCTGAAGCACTGGATGGCCGATTCGCCCTAATATGGAATGCCTCAATAGTGCGTATCCACGTTCAGTGCTTCCAAGTTTCTAATGTAAGTCTAACAATTAGTGGTGCACCATCTCAATTAAAACTCAACAGCCTCCATAGACACATACTGATTATAATGCGGTGTTCTCCACGGTTTCGTAAATGGCAAATTTGAATGAAAGCTGAAAAGTTGATGTACGTTTGATATGCCGATTTCATCAATAATTACTCACTTTGAAATTGCTCTGACAGTGGACTGTTATCAACTACGAAACTATTAAAGGCTGAAAATTACCGGATAGCTATCTTGTTTAACATAAAAATTCTAAATAATAAGGAGGTGGTTGGAAGTAGTCACAATAGACGCTAAACTTAGGGTTCATGGTATATGACACTCGTCAGCAACGTGTACCCGGCAGATCCGACCACATATAACCCAGCTTCACGGTCAAATACATTATCACTGAGATTTCAAATAGCGATTGACCTCCTGCAGATATGAAATGTATTTAAAATTGATTAGTCACTGCCAAATGACCAATGTCATATATGTCAAGTCTTCTTAATACTGATCAAATTCCATCGATCAAAATCATGAAATTTCACAGTCAATCAACATCTTCAATATCTATTCTGTAATAACTAATTGAACAGGCTCTACGATTGTCCTACTTTATACAACAGTTATTTTCATCAAGTTAGATTATCTCGACAAAATATCAGTCTTGTTTTATCATTATGTTGATTAATATTTTAATGAAACACTAGAAAAATGAATAAATTTGTGTTTACTCCTAGTTTAAGATATCTGATGCGTTGTGAATCATTTTGATTTGCATATAAAACAGTGATGTAATTTAATAGTTCAATTCATAAGCCAATTGATGTTAGACCAACATGGAAAACCTGGAAGCACTGAACAACCGTTTCGTCCTATTGTGGGACCCCTCGGCAATACGCATCCACGGTCCCGCCTCGCCAGATCCGAACCCAGAACTTGTCAGCCTAGCGCGAGAACGCTTAACCACCAGACCATTGGGTCAGCATCCACCATTATCATCAGTTACTATCTCACTTATCACTAGAACTCTAGTAAATACCTCTTGGAGACCATCTTACTAAGCATATGATGATTATCATCAGAGAGTGGCTTTTGTGAATATTATAGTAATTTAATAATTGAATTCATGAGTCAATTAAAAAGTTAGATATTCCTTAAAAATCAATAAATGATATCGTCTAACATTAAAGATGGCATATACATATGAAATACACTGATTGCTTACCGTATATCAACTATGTATAGTCAGTTTATATTTTACACCAGATAAATATGATTCATGCGTATAGAATCGTTTTACTTCTAGTTTTTATGAAGATTATAATAATTTAATATTAATCATAATTTGTTACAAATAGATTGTAAGATACGCAAATCATTATGTAATTAGATTATAACATTATAACATTTCATTTCTTGCATATAGAATACTCAATGAAGTCCTCTTTTTGTCAATTATAAAGTTACTATCTTCATTACTTCAGTATTAAAAACAATTGAGTTTCACTGCTTAATAATAATAATTCGAATGAAATACTATGGATTGGTAAGCAGTGATGATAGTGGCTAGCAGTGGAATCAAGGACGCACGTTTCGTCCTATTCGGGACTCGTCAGCTGGATGAGTTGATGTTCACTCTGGGACTCGAACCCAGTACCATTCACTCAAAACACCATCGCGTTATCCACTTAGCTACTGAGTCCTGATAGCCACTTTCTTGTGCAATGGGGGTGGATTTAAATTCACTTGGTATTGCTTTACTTGTATCTTCCCATTGAGGTTTAAGATTGCAATTGATCAGTCTGTTGTTCGCATATGTGCATACTGTGCGTATGCCTCGATACTGCCTTAATTGGATTGGTACTGTAGTTTTATTATACCGTCATGGCAAAACAGAAGAATTTTAAAACAACACTTAATTAAAGTATATTACAAAACAACAAACACCCTTCGAAATGCCTTAGTTCGCTTAAAAGATAAACTCCTATTTATGTCAACACAGAACTATGTCTACAAATTAGGTTATGTTTACTATGATGCCTTTTATATTGGAGAGTTACATCGCTAAATCTTGACTGGAGCCAAACAACATATAAGATACACAAAGAAATCACCATTAATCCCGTGGAAATGGATAGACATCAAATTAAATTGACAATAGTAGTTCAGACCACTTTCAACGACCACCAAATCGATTTTCAAAATATAAAAATATTACAAAAAGGTTTTTCCAACTACAAAAAAGGTAGTAGCTAAGCTTTCCATGTAATACTTAATCCTACTGCTCTCAATAGCGAAGAAAACCCTCACTATATATCGGACTTGAACTATCTATCCAAACTACCATGTCCGATATTATTCCCATTTTACATTATTATTTTACATACAAATTAATCTCTATCTTTCTCACCACAAAGGTCACATATTTTTATCCCCGACCTTGCACACGTACACAACACAAATTTACATACAATTTACAAGTAAATCCGGAAAACAGATCTTACTTTTTGAAAGAATGGGAGGTGATATGATGAAAAGAAAAGTCACAATCAGATTGTTTTACCCATTATGATTTTTGTTCAACATTAATTCCATTCTAATTCAATGTGATGGTTACTCAATGTAGTATTTGTTTCTGTTGTCCCGCATGATATTTTATTCTGTATTGACCTGAACTATGCTCAGCATGACATGCAACATGTGGTCTTGTTATGATCTTGAGTATCCTTTCATATATGTGATTTTAACCTAATTATTAATCAAAATGGGTGTACAATCATTATATAAATGAGTGTAGTTTCGACTAGGTTCGTTGTCGTCGTGATGGCGTTTGGAGCTAATAAATCTTCATTTGTATCAGTTTTTTATTCTTTCTTTCGCGTCGCGGGAATTGCATTGATTCTTCGTTCCCGAGTATAAGTGATGATTGATTCCGATATAATAACCAGAGACGATCATATATAACAAAGTGGCGTTCAGCCTAGAAGACATATCAAGATATATTTCGTCACTCTGCTAAATTTTATTCAACATATAAATTCTCAGTTGTTATCCAACTGAGTCCTCCTCTGTTTTTTGAAGTCTTAATTATTAATATC